CTTTGAAAAGACATGCTGGTTTTCTACTACTTTCTATTACAGCTGACTTCAAGTTACAGAATTTTTCTTCAATGATTGATTCCAATTAAAAACTAGTAATCATTTGTTAAAGAAACTTTTTTCTTTTTCTTATTAAACCCATAATTTTTTCGCTTACTGATATTACTGATACAGTTCTTTGCTTTTATAAGTAAAATATTTGTGCATACTGCCAGCACTTCAGAAGCTACACTAGTTAACTTCCAGAGATCTCTTTCAACCAACATTGCTAATATGACAAGATTAAATGCCTGTAATATTCCAAGTCTTACAGATATTGATATCGCAGAGATACGAACCAAAACATGCTATGCTGTGATACAGAACAATTAAACAGAACATTTAAAACTCAGTTGAAAAGTTTAAACTAATTTTCATTTCATTGAAATGAGCTTCAGCTGAAGTTCCTGGGGTGCAAGCAAGCTGCCCACCCTGGACGGGGGTTAAGATTAAATGCTGCAAGTACAGTGCTTGTGTGACAGAGAAGTAGCTACAGCTGAAAACTGATCTGCAAAGGGATCACATCTGACAGCTTCACACATTAAAACAAAACGAAAATGGGCAAACACTGTCTGAAAAGGTTGCCAGGGATTGTCCAGCTCCAAGTGGGCCATAAATACAAGTAACAGATACAACAGTCTGCACAATCTGATAAAAAACAAATAACTTACCCAGGGCACAATGGGGATGATTGTCCAAATGTCACAAAAATGAAAACCTGTTCATTCAGGTTTAGCCTCACATCTGCTAGTGTCCTGTCCTACAGCACTGCAATCTATTGTTTAATTCTAGGTTAAAATGAAGTAATCTAAATATGCATGCTGTTATATAAAAGGGCCAGGGGATGAAATTACACCAGTTTCTAATAAGGCCCTTTGAAATCCTAAACTAGCAAGTTAGCAGCCAAATTCTTTTTCTTCTACTAATACAGACTGAACAGCAAGTGACGACTAGAAGAGAATAAAATAAGACTGTTAAATTGTAGTTCTCAGAATTCTGTATGTGTTTGCTATACCAAGGCACATGAGAGGACTATTTAGGTGCTAAACATTTCCCATTTTATTAGCCGTCTCCAAGACCAGTCTTAAAAAGCTTTTGTCTCCCTATTGCTAGATTGTTCATAAAGACAAGATCTGCAAAATTTCCTTCTCTCCCATTTCAAAACTAAGTAGAAGAACTTTTAACATGCATCTTTTGATAAAAAAGTATTTCTAGTTAGCATTTAGAAAAAATCGGCTTTTTTTGAAGGAAGCAATAATAGTAAAATAAAATGTGATGTATTTTCTTATACTTTCTACTTTTTTTTTAACGTAGTATGCATAAAGTCAATGGCATACACAGTTATTAAAACTGTGTTTATACCTAGCTACATCTGTCCATGTAAAACAAATGTATGTGGTTTAAAGTATTCTTTTACTTGCTAAATAGCAGCCTGCACTTAGTAACAGACCTCTCACCAGAATATGAAGAGGACCATTTGGTTATTTTCTTCTGTCTGTGAAATATCTCTCTTACTGTTTTCTTCTTTTTCATTATGAATGAAAACTGAGCCTTCCTATCAATGAAAAGAAAATTTCCTTCTTATGCATGGTCGTACAAGTATATTCTGCATCTGAACTGGAAAGAAAAAGAGAGTTGTGAGATTTTTAGGACACGCACCCACCCTAGAAGTACAGTACCACGATGGTACGACCCAGACCACTCCATGCCAGCTGCAGGGATCTGGATCTCAGTGGCACCTGAAGGATCCCAGCTCTGCTCTGTGTCAGCTAGTAGCTTGAATTATTTTCCCACTGATCTTCAAAATAGAGCTATTTACCTATGCAGTTGTGAGTAAAGACAGGAATACCAAAGTATAATAAACTCTACTCTGATTCTGACTCTTTTGGTCACTGCACGAGCTAGTTTAAGGCTTGATTCCCCCACCTCTGCCACATGGGAAAGGGAGAACATTAGTTTTCTGGGTATAGAGGCTCTACAGTACAATTAGGCAAGTAGACTGACTTCTGGTCAGCCAGAAGCATAACAATTTAAAACGTAGCAGAAGCAAGGAATTTATCAGAAATAAAACCAGGAAAAATTAATAAATTAATGACATAATGCATTAAGTGGTATATATAATACATCTACTCAAGCTGGCATCTCAGAAAACAGCAGCTGCTCAATTCAGTCAAACACAATTCTTTAGAGGCTCAGAGAACAGAGGTGCATTTAGATATCTGAAGCAACATGTGGTCATCCAGTCACTGCCCTGAGACAAAAGGGTAAGAGTTTATTTCTCATATAGCTACAGGGATGCTGCGATATACTTTCAGGATAGGAATCATAGAACAATTCATTTCCTATTAGTGCATTTTAAAAGAACAGAAGACAGAGTAAACAGCAAAAACTTGCATTAAAATAATAATAGTGATCTCAAACTTACGGAGAAGTCTGTTAGAATAAAAGCTACAAAACAGTATATCATGATGCAGGAGGATGATATACTTGCAGAAATTAGCAAAAGTTTCTCTTTTTTAAGGCAATTAAATTTAAAAATTAACCTTGATCACTGTACAAAGTATGTCTGGCCTCCTTTCCCAAGGGTGAAAGACTCTTTAACAGAATGTCCAGGGAAATGAATTCAATAAAGTATATCTCTATTCGAAAAACCTCAACTGTCCATCAAACGTACCATCCAACAGCAAGCACCTTCTCACCTATCCCACTTACAGAGAAAGGCAGTCTTTCAAGTAACCAAGGACTAGACTATTCGAGGCAAGGTGCCAGCACAAGTTTGAGCACAGATCTTACATTCGTGCTTATTCACATAATCTAATACACTACATCCTTATGCTCCATGAATTTTCATTATCTAAACCTTATGCACTTACCTCCCTAAGAGGAATATTGAAGCTGGAATGAAGTACTTATCCTCCCCGAACATGTCGAAAACCAGAAATTCTGCCTGATAAACGCAAACTGCCTAGAGCTACCCAGTAACCATTAACGAGTACAAAACACTACAGCTACACTTCAAGCAGAAGACTTGAAGAATTTACATCTGATACCTTCCTAGAGCCTAAAGCACCAAAGCCTCATCTTCAGAATAACCCCTTCTACCTGGAATCTCTAGTCCACAGATACACCCTGTGGCTTTTAAGGAACTAAGCCAGAAACACTATTTTCTCTTTTAAAAATTGGCTGCAAGAGGAGTTTAACCATGATATAATAGCAAAACAGCTTTTGAAGTTGGGAAATGAAGGGTCAGTGCCTGCTCTAGGCAGATGGGCCTCACAGCACAATTCCTTCTCCCAGGACAGTGCCCAACATCTTGGCGAGATCTTAAGTCTCAGTATACACCTGGATGAAGGGAGTCATGAAGTGGCTCTCCCATCCATTACCCTGAAGTTCTGTCACTGTTAGCGAAGAGTAAGAAGAATAAACTTGTCTTGAATCACAATTTTCTGTGACACTAACAACAGTATAAAGCCAGAAGATCCTGCCTCCATATGCAACACAGCACAGATTTCACCTCAACCTCTAATCTGCAAGACTGTTTTCATGCATTATCATAAAGATATGTAGTAATTATGAGAAATACTACAGAAATTATACTATGATGAGGTAGTAAAATAGCTACTAAAATATGCATTTATCAGGCATCCAGTGCTGCAAAAACATTTAAACTACTATGAAAAGACATTTTTGCACTAAGCTAAACTGGCTCATCTACTTCTTATTAATAACTGCACCATGTATACTCCACAGAACAATTGTTTCACAGACTGCAAGACATGAACTTATGCCTAATCTTTTATGACCTTTATAAAACTTTATTAAATTATGAAGCCATGTAGCTTTTACATGCTCTAAAACAATTTAAATATGTGCAGCTGTCCAAGCAGTGCCACCATGGGGACTTACAACACTGTTAAGACTTTCCAGTTCTGTACCACTTAAAATCAGCAATAAAACTCTAGTCCAAGATAAAGTCTCAGATAGGAGCTATCCAGTCAGGAGCAAAGTACTCCTTATGAAAGATAATTACTGACATTTTAGAAATACATGCAGGTTTTCCCACTTCCTTGAACTTGTGTTACCCATAAAAGTCTCTGTTATAAATATATATATATTAAAACTAGTTTATTACATAGATAACCTCTTTCAGCATATCAGAAATAGAAATATGAAATCCCTTTGTTGATCTTTAGTACATTAGACTCATAGGGATCATGGTACTTGCAAAATGTGCCCCTACTGTGACCAGTAAGAAACATTAAGAAATTAAGATACTAAAAGCAAAGCCAATACTGCGGATGGCAAGCCCAGATAACTTTAAATTTGCTTGGAGCCTACTGTCTCCTCAGAACCTCAGTCTGGCGGTAAGGAAGTCTGGGGACCACATCCTTAAAGGAAAGGAGAAATAAGAAAGGAAAAAGAAGAAATGTCCACCCCATTTCTCACAGATCTGTCATCAATGACAAGGGGAATCTCTCTCTGACATGAAACAGAGAGATACACTGCCAATTCTCGCAATTCCCTTGAAATCCAAGAGAATCCTGAAACAATTAATGTATGTTGTCTGCCACAGTCTGACAATCTGAAGTATCTTGTTTGTGATTTTGGTAACTCTTGCTTTGGCAAAACTGACAGATCACTATGGATATACATTTTGATGCAATTATTTGAACAAGGCATAGCACTGTGCAAGTTCATAACATTTTATTTTTCCCCTATACCCTTATTGTATCCTTCCAACAATTCTAGTTCTGCAAAATCCTATATAGCAATGATCTTGTACCTTTCAACAGGTAAAAAAGATTAAAACCACTTATTCAACGTATGAACTAAGAGAAGGTTTCAAACTAAAACCTTTCTCCAGATCTTACTATCATTTTCAAATCCCAAGTCCCTTCACACAACTTGTACAGAGTTCAATTTATTCCACTCCATCCATGTTTATCAACATTTGTACTCACTGACTGTTCACTTAGATCCTGAGAGTCTTCCATTGAGGTTATTCGCGTTTCTTTTCCTCCACGAGCAGAAATTATCTTCCCTTTAATTTACAGCTCAGTAGTCTAAATTAAAAAGAAGATAAAAAATTGACACCTTAGTCTAGGGTCCTCATTTCTAAGGCAAATCTGCAATAAACAAACCCCCTAACTGAGGTTGTGGTTTCACTAAAATCTTCAGCAAAGTTCTCATTGATTTATATGAAGACTAATTTCATGTAAAGTGCTTCAACACCTTGAGTATTGTTTTGGGAATTATCTAAAATACAGAAACAGGAAATTTTCTTTGACTTCTGCAAGACAAAAAATAGTTATGAAAACAAACCAACAAACCAAAATGTTGAATACAGGCAGCTGTTTAAGTAGACAATCAATTATAACCCTTGGAAGAACATATTAGAAAAAGAATTATAGAACAGAAGTGCTTAACACATTTAATGATAAACTCTTAGTCATTAAGTGTCTGGCAGAAAAGAAAGTCATTATGCAATCATCAGCATGAAGTCCCCTCTCTGAGGTTCATTAAATTCCTTTAGGATTAAATAAAGTACGCAAAGCGGTTTATAACAAGCAGGTCCCTACAAAGTGCTAAATAACAGAAATCTACCCTAATTATCTGCTATGTCTATGACTTCTCAAATAGGGTGAGTCACTCTCATCAAATACGGAGCTCTTCAGTAGGAAAATCCTAAGAGTTCTGCCCATGTATCATTACGTTAACCTTAACTATAAAGCCACACAATTGTACTACAACCTCCATTCTCAGAAAAGATCTATTTTGGAGTTATGTAAATTTGCATAATTTAGAACAAAAAAAAAAAAAAGTGCCAGGGATATTTCATATATGCAATAATCATTATATTATTAGTCAAAGTTAATGTTACATTTAAAAGAAAAAATAAATAACCATATGTAAACACATACATCAAGGAACCCAAACATCCTGGATTTGCTTATCAACATTACCTGGATTTGTTTATCAACAAGGCACACAAGAAACCATTACCTGGAAGTATACCAAATAACATAAACATATTATGGACCTCTGTTATATTCTGTTCAGCAAGCACTTACACCTTGTGCTACCTCTGCCCTCCATAAATGCAACCACTATTTTTCCGAGGTTAAACAAAGTACAGCTCTATTGGCATAGGCACAACATTTGAAAGGAACCAGAGCTATGGAATATACATGAAACAAGCCATAGCACCTACATATTCTCACCCGCAGTCCTGCGCTGCCCTGTGAATACCCACTCTCTTAATCTCAAGTGCCACTTAAGTGCCATACCTCCATTTACTCCCCAAAACATAACTCTAAAAAATTCATTGTTTTTGCATCAGATATTTTCCAGAACACACACAAATGCACAACCCCAAACAACTTTCCTTTCAGTCTCACCTGGATTTTTCCTTCCCCCAAACTAAATCTTCCTGTCTTCCCTCTTGTCTAAGTTTCTAAATTATTTTCGTTCAGATTTCATTAATTTTTGCCATGATGTTACATAAGGAAAAGACCAATTGCAAGAAAATAATGTTGCATGTATTTCACCATATCATAGAGTTGAAAATAATTCCTGTTTTTCCAGTGTCCTCTCAGTTTCAGAAGGATGCAAGACATGTCTTCACCCATGATGCCTTAACCCAAACTGTAACCACTTTCCATGTTTGTTGATCAATGTGGAGCCCACACTCTTGTATTTGTAAAATCTTCTTCAGCCTTTGTTCAATTTAAGACAAAAGGAGAATTGAAAGGCTTCTTTAAAACACCCACTGTAGACAAATTTCAGAAAGGAACCTACTAAGAACAATGGATATTTTAAGAGAAAGCAGCTCTACATGGCATTGCCTGCAGCAGTCCCTGCCAAAGGAAGAAATCCAAACACAGAGTTGAATTTTTATAACCAATACCAAAATGCTGCATCAATAACTTAAATATAAAATCTAGTCTAATTTAAAGTTTGAAGAATGTGCATGTTATTGCATTGTAAGATTGTCTGCAGAAATAAACAATGAAAATACAAAACTCAGAACAAATTATTTGACTAATACTGACTGAAAAGTCAGTACCTGCCTTGCATTCAAACAGTAAATGCTCCAATTCTGTCAGTCAGCCACTGAAGGTGACAGATCATTCACTTCCTGTGTAAAACTCAACTATAACTCAATTACAGAGCCATACCATAACAGACAGACCAATATTTGTGTTTCTTTTCGTATGGATCATGACCTTAACCAAAGCACACTGAAATCAACAGATGGATGCCACATTTTTCCTTAAAAAACAAAGTGTATTGATATCTTAAATACATCCTGATGACACAAATCCAACAGTTTTCCTATTAAGGACTGCCAATGACTCACCCAGGGTATGTGTTGTGTCCCAAAACTCAGGTGGATGTATTCACTGGAATGCATCATTAAATATGCCACTTGTATTAGTCACCTTCTAAAAAAGACTAGCCTTCAACAGTTTCAAATGTTACTTTACTGAATTGCAAGACAAAGACAAGTTTTTTTTAATCTTAGCAGAAACACACAATGTGTTAAATATATCCTTTGCATGAACATGCTAAATTATACAGTTTCCAGAGCACTGTTGTTCATCTTCATGCTGGATCAAAATTCAAATGCTCTTATTGGAAATTCAGCTTTTTAAAATAAAATTCAGCATTAATATTTTATCAGCATTATTCTACCTATCAACAGCTAAATCCTGCTACATTTTGAGCCCAGTTAAAGCAGCTGGTTATAACCAACTGCTAACACAAAGATTTTTATAATGGCAGTTATGCCAATTGCACTTAGACCAAATCCTTTAGGGTTTAGTTTCATAAATTTGTAAAAGAGAAAGACCATTAGAGAAGTCAGTGATTTAAATAAGACCAACATTACTCCCTAATAAAGATATAAAATTAAAGGATAATAGTAACCTCGTGCTGTTTTATGAGGCAATAATCCAGTTACCAATTCAACCTTGTAGTTTATTCCATCAAGAGAACCAGATTAAAAACAGAGGGAGGAAGGGCACTCTTATCCCTATTACATTGCAAGTGTTTCTAACTGGCTTTAAATATTTTTAAAATTGTTGTTAAAAGTCTTAAATACACAGACAAGTCAGAATAAAGAAAAATGCCTGTTTCTCCTCTTGATACAGTCCTTGCAGATGTGGCTTTAAAACTGATGAAGTGTTTTATGCTCCCAGATAAAAATTTTACTTTTCTAAGAAATGTCTTAATTAGGAGGATTCTTGAGTTTCCTCAACAACAAATGCATTTAAATCTAATTTTTTATTTATTTATTTTTATCTAGGGGAATAAAACACTTCATCAAATTTAAACTGCAACTTCCAGGACTTGACCATGAGGAGAAACATGTGTTTCCTCTCAGAGATACACCCATAAGTTAAAGAAAATAAAAAGCTACTTGAGGATCTGCTGCGTTCTGCTTTATAAATGACTGAAAGTGTAATACAGCAAGGACCTGATCTTTCCCCTTGCAATGATTTCTTCAGAAAATTAGGATTCCAACAAATAATCAGGTGACTGATGTAATGTCACTTTCTATGGGATGCCTAATGTGATCCAGTGCCGCAACTTTCACAAGCTCAAGAAAGAATGTGAAGTTTGGGGACTCACACATAAAAAACAGCCTTAAAGCACTTGACGCTTCTCCAGAGTATTTCAGAGGCTGCTTCAGGCCCTCCAGCCAGCCAGATGGAGAGATGGAACTCCAGAAGAATCCATCATCTGGAGTTTGACCATCAGCCAAAAAGTTTTCCCCATTTTACTTCAACCCAAAAACTTGGGAAGAAAGTCCTTTCTTTGTCTAGTAGGAATCGGTCTTCTTAAATGAAATTCTGGGTGAGGGAGGATGGTCCTCAGTTTCTACCACAACAATTTTTTGCACATGATAATCCCCTTGTGCACATTGTCAAGTTTTTTTATTCTGATTTATCTGAAGAACACATATTTTTTCTGAGGTTATATCATTTGATGCTCCCTAGTTCTACTGCGGTAATATCATGTAATGCTCTGGCAGTATGGTTCAGAAGTTGTGCGATCTTAGTCAAATTTACTGTATTGTTTTATACATTTTGAAACGTGTTGGCAAGAAGCCTAGTGGATAAAAAGAAAGGATGCTCCTGTGGTTAAAACAATTCACTCAGCCATGAAGAACTCACTTCTGTCAAAGCCACAGGTTGAGAGTCAAAATGTTAAGTGAGAAGTGATCACAAATAGAGCAATTTCTCGTTTTCTAGTGCTGTACTTCAAAAATCTTTAATAGTACTAGTACTTAGTGCTTATAGCTGCAACTGAATGTATGCAGGACATGCAGCAGTAAGGTGCCAACTAGTGAGGACAGGCTCCAGAGTTTGAAGTCCCACAGCCTCAGGCAAGTCTCTCTGGGTTTGCACCATTTCTACAGATCATTCAAGTAGTGTGAAGTGCATTTGAAGCATTGTGAAAGGTTATAGAAGGCAGATAATGAGAAAATTAATTGCTTTAGAATCAGTGCAATATAATAGTGCATATACATTGCAGTCTCACTAAATTAGATTATTTTGTGCTAGTTGTTTTCCAGGAAACTAATTTCTTTGAAGAAACAGGAGAGAGGGTACGTGTAGTAAAAAACAGGCACTGCCTAACACTCAGTAATTTCTTACGTAGAAAAACACCCTTCTAGTAGTCTGCATGCATATCAAATCATCTTGTAAAAGAAAAATAAAATACGACCTAAATTAAAAGAAAAGTAAACCAAATGCTGATTTATTAGAATTTCAACTTAGCCTGTATCTACAGTACAAAACTGGATTTTGGACAGTAAAAACATACCACTTTATCAGTCCCTAATACTATCACATTTGAAAAAGAAAGAACCATGCCCCAGATGAGAAAGGAGATTGATGTGCTTTATAATCTAGCTTTCTTCAAAACTCAAGTAAAAATATTAGCAGGTAAATTGATAAGAAAAATGTACTAACTTAACACTTTTAAAATCAGTGTTTACTATAGCCCACCTGATCAGGAGGAGGAAGTTGATGAGGCTTTCTATGGGCAACTGAAA